CTTGGACAGTTAAGAGTCCATTGCCCCCCCCCCCCCAAGTTGTTCTTTGTGTTCTGGAGCGGAAAACCGAGGGACACCCAAGCGGGAGAAGAGAAAATGAAACCAATCAGATCCTAAGTTCCAGGAAATCGGCTTGTGGGTCACTTCAGCCCTGGACTTTCAGTCTTGCGCAGAAATCCTCTGCGCCCCTCAACCCCGCTGCCCCGGGGCCGCGCGCCGGCCCCGCCCGCAGACTCACCGTCGCCCGTCCCGAGGGCGTCCAGCCGGTCCGGCGCACAGTTCCAGGGAGACCCCTGGGCTCTGCTCTCCCCCGCCTGCTGCGTGAAGTCTGTGGCGGGAGACCTCGGGCCACTCCGCGGGATCCCGCGCCTTCTGCCGTCGGGCGTCGAGCCGTGCGCTGGGGCGGGCGGGAGAGGCTGGCTCAGCACACCAGGCGCCGCCGACCGTCGTTTCCTTCCAGGCTGTGACCGACACCACCGTGTCCCAGCCAATCAACCAGCCTGCTCCGTACTCAGCCCGCCCGAGGCTGGCGAGCCAGCGCTGTCCACGCCCACGGATGTCAGGCGCGCCCCGAGCTTTGACTCGCCACTGACTCGCATGCTGGGCTCCGAGAAAACTTTTCTCAGAGGTTCAGAGCCAAGGCAAGAATCTTCCCCCCTCCTGGCTTTTTCCCTCTTCCTGTCCTTCCAACGCTGACTCCCACTTTACACTGAGCAGACATCGTTAGAGCGCTCACCAGAGCAGACCCTCTGCTTGCAGCCGGACAATCAGGAAAGGGTAAGGTCTCAAGAGCTCTTCAAACCAGGGCACAGGATGCGTAGGACTGGAGGAAAAAAACGCTGTGGCAGCCCGAGTGAAGTATACTTTTATCTGCCTCTGTGCTAGAGAAGCTTGGGGGAGAGGGGGTAGGATGTGAGCACAAAGAGGAATGAGGGAGGAGACATACCTAGTGGGGGAAAAAATCACATCCCCCTCTACCTGAGCTCCTTGGTGGGAGCTGTGTTCTATTCAAGTTAGCCGTGTTCTGCAAAACATTGCTAAAAGACATGGAAGAGCTGAAAGAAGAAACTCTATAGACTTCACTCTCCTCCACTCTGCCAGTCTCTTGCCAGCTCCTAAATTTGCAGGATGACTGGCAGCCCAAAGCCAAAGGTTCGCTGGTGTGGATGATCCAGGATCAGCCTCACAGCACACCAAGTGGGGAGGGGGGACGGAAGAGCGTCTTGAGAGCCAGTGAGAGCCATCTGGCATCTCTCCTTTCCGTCTGATGTCCTTGTGGGTGCATTTCTGGTGCCTGTTGTTTTATATTGGCTTTTACTCATGGAGCTTTCTTTTTTCTTTTTTTAATAATATAATAAATTTTACATCATTTTGTACATTTTTCCACCTCAATTATAATCCCCATGTGTTTCCCATCACCAAGTCACCCATGTGCCATCACCATAGTCCCGTGCACTTCCCTCCCCCCACCATTTTTTATCTCATTCCTCACTCCATCCCCACAAAATGTCTCTGGTATATGGCTGTTCATTATTCTTATTATTTTCTCGCCTGGTCCATTATACTCCTGCTATTAGCGAAACCATCTGGTATTTTTCTTTTTCTTTCTGGCTTATCTCACTAAGCATGATCTTTTCCAGCTCCATCCAAGTTGCTGCAAAAGACATGTGTTTCTCTTTTTTGGTTGCTGAGTAATATTCCATTGTGAATATGTACCACATCTTTTTAATCCAGTCATCCACTTTTGGGCATTTGGGCTGCTTCCATGTTTTTCCAATTGTAAATAAAGCAGCAATAAACATGGGGGTGCAAGTGTCTTTTTGAATCAGTGTTTTTGTGTCTTTTGGGTAGATACCTAGGAGTGGGGTTGCTGGGTCGTAGAGAAGCTCATGGAGCTTTCTCACCTTGTGTGTTTGTTTTTATTGTGAATTTAAAAGTCTTTGTTACTTCATCTGTGGCAGTTTTTTTGAGGCCCTGGTTGAGATGGCACTGCTCCACAGACATTTGTAAGTGCTCTTCCTGCGAGCCTAGTGGTTCCCCGGCCAAAGTTATGTTATATAAGTTTTGACTTAGGGGTTTCAGAGCACCTGATTTGCACGAATTCAGACCTCCATGAGGTTGGTGTGATTCAACAGCCTCAAAAAAGTCCGTCTCAGCTCTAGGTAGCTAATTTTACCCGCAGTGCCCTGGCAAGCAAGTTTATTTCTGGTTCATTCTTAATATGGAGGATGTAGACCTTTGGGGGTCTATGATAGACACATTTGGTGGTATCATCACCTCCCTCTGTCTGCCTCTGGGCTACTCCTCAGTTGTAGTAGAAGGTTCCATGTGAACACTGTCCCTGCATTGAGTTCAGCCAACATTCTGGGGGAAAACTCCTAGCAAGTTCATACTTAGCTTATATGACTGTACCCCCACTTCAAGTCCATCTTTCTGTCTTTACTTCAGGACCTTTATCAAAGCCAGGGAATTGGTTGGCTTGCGTGCCAAGATGGCCCACAAGTGAGAAGGGAGTTGACACCCCCACCCACCCAATAGCAGAGGCAGCTGGAGGATATATGTTCTAGCCACTTGTCCCTGAGGCAGGTCTTCTGTTTGCTTCACAAGAGGCACCTGAAGAATCTGTGAGCCTCACAGATTCATCCTGATATGGTTCTTTCATTTTCTGTCCTAATCCTTTCCAATCTCTCATTCCTTATTTCTGCAGTTGTGCCTCAAGCAAATTACTTGCATTCATTTTCCTGGTTTTGGCATGTGTGTTTCTGTTCTTGTTTTTGGTATTGCTTTTTAGGGAAACTAAATAAAGACAGGATCTTACCTTTATGTGTTTTGCCACAAACTCATATTCTTTTTCTTATCATTTCTTCTTTTTCCTTGCTACAAGTTCACAGGTGTCTAGGGTGGAGTGAAGATGCAAACCCTGGCATTTTCCAAATTCCACACTCACCCTGTGGACTCCTTAATAGCTAAAATCGATTCACTGTGCTATATTACCTAACTGTAAAGAAAGTACCAGTGGCTGTTTTTGCAGTCAGCATATGGGTCTAGAACTTAGAACTGAAAAAAGCCAAGGTGTGGGATGGGCGTGAGGATGGGGGAATGTAATGGCCATGTGCAGATATAGGTCAATCCCACGACCAGGATTACTATGGCAATGTCAGAGATGCTGATGGAGGCGAGGATTCCAGGGGCAGAAGAATATCTGATAGCAGGTACATAGGCTAATTGCAGAGGAGCTGGGGACTGCTTTGGAGACAGATATGATAGCTGAGAATGGGTCATGGAGCTCCAGAGATGATGATACATGTGAGAATAGAGGTCCTCCCCCCAAAGACCCAAATGGAATCTAAAACCTCAGACTACTCCTAAGGAAGATGATTCTTCTGCTAGCACCCTCCAGTCCAATAAGCAGCCCCTATCTTTGCAGGGGCCAAGCCTGTAGACATAGCTGCTAGAGAGGGCAAGTAGAAAAGTGACTGTAGAAAGAACAAGAGAAAAGGCAGCAATAGCTGGATGGACCAAATTAGAAAATGAAACTTGGGAGAGGCACCCGATGGGCAAAGTGAAGAAACTCAGGCATGTGAATGGTTGAGGGGAAGTGAGTCACTACAGGGCCTCCCTGGTGGCCCTAGGGGCTAAGTCTCAGCATAGCCACTGGTAAGGCCTGAGTTCATTCCCCCACCAGGGAGCTGACCCACATGGTGCAGCGGATCTCTCGTGTCTTGCCTGCTGCTCCCCTCAGCAGTATATTTCAGTAGATCCACCTGTTCTGTTTGTTACGGGGAAGGATGTCCTAAAGGAACTCTGCAGAGTCTTGTGGACTCCACCCCACCCTCCAGGTTTCTGGACTCCACCCCCTACTCCAGTGATTGGAAACTACAACTCCCAGCACTACCAGGGAGAGAACTGCGAGGACCCAAGGGCGGAGCTAGCAGGAATTCTGGGACATTTGGGGGATAAATAGGGCATGATTGCATCTCTAGCTTTCTGGCTCTCTTGCTCGGGAAACGGCTGTCTGGACCGCGAGACTCTGGTGTTTTCAGTCAGCCTAGCCGTAAGGTATTCCAGTTACTTTGTATCCCGCTCTCTTTCCCTGGGTTGTTTCCTATCCCTTTCCCCTTTTGTAAATAAACACGTTACTGACCCTTTTGTGTGTACCTGCAGTGTAACTGAATATTGAGCATGTAGGTGAGGCCCCACAGACAGGCGGCCCAGTCCACTCTGGGCTACCCTGTAACATGTTCCCCACTCTGTCTCTGGTGAAGCCTCTCACCACTCCCACCCCTCCACACCTCTGGCCTACACCCCAGATCTTCTTTTTTTTTTTTAGTAACAGTTTATTTTTACATCATTTTGTACATTTTCCCCCCATCTCAATTGTAATTCCCGTGGGTTTCCCATCACCAAGTCACCCATGTGCCATCACCATAATCCCGTGTACTTCCCTCCCCACACCCTGTTTTTGATCCCATTCCCCACTTCACCCCCACAAAATGTCTGTGGTATATGGCTGTTCATTATTTTTGTTATTTTCTCACCTGGTCCATTATACTCCTGCTATGAATGAAACCATCCGGTATTTTTCTTTCTCTTTCTGGCTTATCTCACTAAGCATGATCTTTTCCA